CCCCCCCCCATTTTTCAGAACTCAGTCGAAGTTAAATACCTCATCATTCATAAGCTCACATACTTTAAAAAAGTCCCAGAAATGGTAAGGATGCTTTGGTATGTAAAGTGAGTGCACACTATATGCACACGTGCACACGCACAGTGCAAGGCAGTAATTGAACAGGCGTTGGCACAGTTCGGTGGCGACACCTGTTTTGAAATTTATAATGAGCAGCCAGGGGAGAGGACCACACGCAAACACAGCCACAGACGCACGCACACACATTTTTCTGCAGCTTGGCTGTGAATCTGCACTGAGCTGCAGGTCATAGGGAGGCTAAGAATAAACAGACCCTACTGAGCGTATCCCTCTCTTTCCTGCTTCTGTATATAGTACTCACATGCCCTCTGATTAACAAAGGCCTACCAAAGGCAGAGGCGGCAGATAAAGACCTGCAGACAGAAAACGGAGCAAAGCTCGTGAAGTCCGATGGGGAAAAACAAAAGGGTAATTAAAAAAAAACACATTCATTCATTAATTAGCTGAACAGAGAGAGAATTAATTCATTGCTGCAGCATTTAATGGGAGTCCAGGCAGTAAAGAAATGTAGATGCACAGTGCTATGGTGGGCAACATATACTTTTACATATACTGGACCCTCCCATTTGTGTTTACATATCACTCTGGATTTAATCATTGTTTACTATTAATCTCTGGCTCTCTTCAACAGTGTGTCTATTCTCCTGTCTTCCTCCTCTCCCCCCACCAACTGGTCATGGCAGATGGCTGTCCTTTCCTGTGTTAAAAGGGAGTTTTTTGTTCCCACTGTCACCAAGTGCTTGCTCATAGGGGTCCTTGGATTGTTGGGGGGGTTTCTGCATAATTGCAGGGTCTTTACCTTACAATACTGAGGTGACTGTTGCTGTGATTTGGTGATTTTGTGCAATATGAATAAAATTTAATTGAATGTGATTGAGTGAATTGCACAGCAGCGTATTCAGGTCCGACTTGACTCACCCGCAGACTTGCTTACGCTGTTAAGTCGGCGCCTTGATGGAACTGAGACATCTAAATATTGATACGTGCATCTGTATCTCATAACAGTGATGTATTCCATCACAGAAAGTGATGCCGTATGGGTACAAGAACTGGCTAACACGGTCGCTTTTGTGTTACTCGTGTATGTGGCCACATTCGTCATTTTTCTCCCGTCACGTACTTTACAGTGTAACGCCAGAGCTTTAGGGGTTTGCTGCATTAAAGTTTTAGTTTCACTTCGCTTCTGCGGGAGCCCTCATACGTGACAGGCTCCTTGAAGCGGCACACACCCGGTTTTTAAAGCTGGATTTCTGTTTGAATGATGACATCATCTGGGTTATTTTCAGAAATCTGAAAGCTGCTTCTTCGTCTTCCTTTTAAGAGGATGTGCAGGTTGAGTAGTTCTCCTCACGACTGACATTAATGTGTAAAAATGGTTTTGCTTAATAAAGGGAGGCTCCATCTTGGGCTTCTGAGAGCGGACACCTTCAGCACGACCTCTTGGAGTATCTGTGATGTAGGGAGGCAAAAGAAAAAAGGACTTTTCCTTTGTGGGCTCAGCGTAGCATTACATTATCTTCTATAATGAAATCGAGTGGAAGCGCCTCTTCCTTCTCTTCACTTCGCTTTTCCTCTCCTCCTGTCAGTTCAGCTCCAGCAACTTTTAGATTTCCCACAAGATTTTTTTCAGCTGCACCTGACTCGCCCTTCGTCATGTTTCCCCCGTCTCAGTCCGTTCTCCTCCTCTCACCGCTTTACCGTTTTCCTGAGCTTTAAGCAAAGCTCATTCCGGCAGGCAGCGTGAATGACGGATTAATGTGGGGTTGCTTAAATGCAGGATATAGGCGAAAGGGGGTAAACAAAACAATTACACAGATTGGAGGAGAACTCAAGGAAGTGGAGGGAGGCGTGTGGACACTGAGTTATGTCTGGGTTGTGATCCAGCTGAATTGCTTTGGCAGCAAGTCCCTGTTCTTACGGCGTTGGCTGGAGAAGATGGGGAGAAGGATGTAATTAAGAAGAGAAGGTGGAGGGAAATAAAGATGCCAGGTAGAGCGAGAGGAAGGGAGAAGAGAAGGAAAAGTCTGACAATGTAAACAAGCAAAAGGTGAAAGGCAGAGGGGAGCAAGATGCAAATGAAGAGAAGTCAAAGGTGCGCAGAAGCGAGGGATAAGTGAGAGAGGAGAGTGATGGGGAGGTGAGGTATGAGGAAAAGGTGGAGAAGCAGGAGGAGGGCTTGAGAAAACTCATCTAAAAATCTGCCAGGAAAATATGTGAGAGATTAGTATGGAGAAAACATGATGAACTACAGAAATGTGATGAGGCAAAGGCAGAAAGCAGAGGGAGAAGGAGAAACGAGTGCAGCAGATTAAAGCAGGTTCACATTAGTGTGCAGGAGGATTTTTGACAAGTAGTTCAAAAGCACAGTGATGAAAAGAGAAAGCACGCAGAGAGGGGCAGCAGCGAGAGAAGATGAACAATAAGTGAGCACAGACTGAATCAGTGAAGTAAGAGAGAGAGGGAGTGAGACGAGAACAAAAGGGGTAAAACCGTAAAGAGAAAGAGCCAGTTACTGATAGCGAGGGCAGATTGAGCCACCTTAAACCCAAAGTCGAGAACTGATTGGGTTTCTCGTGAATCAGAAGTGGATGGATAGACTTATTTAAGTATAAAAAACAATATCACATGGAGAAAAAGCAAAAGAAGAATTTGTTATAAGCGCTGACCGGCGAAAAGAGCGAGGAGATGAAAGGTTAGGGTCGGGGAATAAATGCAGAGGTGAAGAATAGAAGGAGCGAGGTGGGAGACGCCAGGATGGATAGATCAATTTACCACAGGGGCTTTCTCACCAGCATATTCCTCGCTCAGCTGGCTCACACTCCTACATGGAAACATTGGATTATCGATCCATCCCCTCCTTTCCCCAGCAGTCACCCTGCTCGTCTGAAGCAACAGCTTCAAGGCCTCTCAGCGTCTTTGCTTTTGCTTTTGTATTTGATGCAAACTATACACTGTCTCCATTCCTCCTCAGCTCACAGTCTCAGTCACAGAAGGCATCTCAGCTTCTTTTGCAAGTGCTTTGGTTGCGAGCAGACACTTGCTAACTGACCACAGAGCTGTAGCAAAAGCTAAGGAAATCCCAAAAAGTTGATTCGGTTTACTGGACGTAGCGCTTTTGGTTTTTGCGACTATTTTCACCTTGCAAACAACCTCCTGCAACCACTCACCAACTGATCTGGGACAACACTTTTCCATAGCGAGTGGTGGTTACCAGTGCATGACTGACTGGTCTCTATGCTTGTGCGACTTTGGCTTTAGCAATCTAAACTAACTAAAATACACTGTTGGTTGATGTAGATCAGCAGAATCAGAATCAATAGCTTTTTGTTTTTGCAGCAGTCGTTTATATGCACGTTCTTTAGCAGTTCCTTTAAGTATATTAAATACATTAACTATGACTCCATGACTCCCATATATACACTGAGTTATTCTCTGATGCTTCATAAAAACATGCCCTTCACTACTAATCTACATCCAGCAGAAGAAGACGCTCATTGCTGCTTATGCTTGACCCACAAAGTTGCAATCTCTCAGGGTTGAAACACACTTTACTAAGTGATCTTTTTAATCCTCTTTAGCATACACACCACCAATAGTTTAACTTTCAGCTAATCTGATCTGCTGCAGTCTCAGACCCACTGATACCAGCTTTGTATTTAACCTCCTCTGCTCATATAACAGCAGCTCTCAGAAGACTGCCTCAGCTTTACAGTTTGCATGGTTTGATTACACTTAACTCTTGTCTTTTGCTTTATCTTCTCTCGCACTCCCTTTCATCTCTGCCTGACCTTGCAGCAGTGACTGCACCATCAGCACATCGCTCCGTCCCAAACGCACAAGAACATGCTATGACCTGTGCTTTAAAGACGCTCTGCTTAGAGGTTTGCTGGTGTCAGACGTTTGTGTTCATTTGTAAATTCTGATCTGATGCAATCGCAAACCACTAAATCGAACACCAGCCCTTCACCTTATCCAACATTGAATTCTAATCTGAACTCCAAAGCCATAATTGTTCTTCTCAAGCAGAACTTTGAAGGCAAATATTCCCCAAAGTGTCAAAAACCTAAATCTAGGTTTAACCTTAAACCTCACACACGCACACAAAGCTTTTGAAAACACACCGATGTCATAACACCACCTGGCTCAGACCTTATTCACTGTAACCTTGTCAATCTAATAAAATATTCTTAAATTATGCACAGATGTCCTCACGCTTACATCTAAAAGTCTAATTGGTCCTCATACATATAGATATGTGAAACCACACACACTCTTACACACACGTACGCAGAGGGCTTGCTTTATGGGCCCCGAGTGGCGTTGGAGAAACTGCATTCCCAACCATTTTATGTACTGGTCAATTTAACACCGCTAACTTCAGCATATTAAAAATGCATGCGCCCAAGGACGCAAGAGCAATTTTATGAATGTGTATGTGTGCACCCATGTGTTTGCAAGCATTTAATGCAGAGAAGCCTGCCTGGAAATGTGACATTATTACACTGTTATCTACCTAATAGAGCCATTTATACAGCAGAATACTTGATTAACCTACTCAGCAATTTCTGAATAGAAATCAATCACAGGAAGGAAAACAGAGGAAATGTGAGGGTGTCATTGTTGATCCAAAAATGTCCCAGTCTCCATATGATGTCACACCAACCGCAAAATGTAAAAAATACACCGGGACGGTGTTCAAAGGTGGATGAAATGTGATGCAGACAACAGCGAGGTACTCACATGGTCTCATCATTCTGAAACTCCAGCTTTCCTGCAGCCATTTCGTAATCCTCCCCTCCCTTAGCGGTTCCATCCAAGGTTCGATAGGGAATGGCGACCAGGCCTCGAGCCCCCGACGTCCTGAGCACCTTCACCTCCATCACGCCAACACTTTCACTCACCCTTTGAGTGGCACTTTCAAATGTAAAGATGCCTAAGAATTAATGAAAGAAAGAATTTATTTCACAGGGGAGAAACACTAAAAAGCTTGACAAACACCTACACACTCATGCAGTAGCTTGCTCTCAGAGGTGCACGGTATATACTGTACAGTAAGAGGATAACAGATCACTTCCCACTCTCTCTGGATGAAACACAATGGGTAAACACCCACTCTCCACTCATCCACCTGCATTTTTAACTCCCTGGATGTTTTCAAATTGCAGAAAAATGTCGCAACACTGGAAGGACGAGCTCTTTGTCACCTTCTAATGATGCTGTTTTATGGACACCCAGAGGCGACAACCTATGGCACACCAACAGATTCATGTGGACTCCTGATAGCAGTAAAGCACAGGTTTACAGTGTGCAAAAAGCTGTTCTACTTTGCAGTGTTAGCACAAGGTAGGCACTTCGCAAAACAAATATGTCTATTTGAATAATGTAGAATCAAATACCAAGAAATAGTGAGAATTGAAATTTCAGTTTACAAAATTTTTAGATATACTACATCAAGCAGCAGTTTCAGGGGCTAATCTCCTCTACAGTTGGGTCCTCTAACACAGCGGTCCCCAACTTTTTTTTGCCACGTTTAATGTCAGACAATATTTTCCGACCTTCAAAGTGTCGCGGATAAATACAACAAAATAAAATGATACAACCAAGACAAAAACTGTGGTATTTTGTAAATATAATAATAAACGCGAATTCACTGTGTAATTGTTTAACTTTATTAGCGGGGTCGTCCTGAAATGCGCCAACATTGAGAGTGACATCCTTCTCTCTGCCCCTCAATGCTCTCTGGTCGCCATGGTAATATTTCTTTCAAAATCAGACACACAACTATAACAGACTGTGTTAACGATAAAAACCCTGAAAACCATAGATTTCACACCTGAGCCTCAACTCTCACAGCCTGGTACCAAACGACTCACGGACCGGTAACGCTGCTCTATTGGATACATGATTGTGTGCTAGGCTCCACTGCTGTTAACTTGATTCAGTGAATGGGACTTTGCACCTTGTTGGTGCTAATTGCACTCACAGCCTGTCCCAAAGTCAACTTGTCAGGTTTTATCAAGTGAAGTTTTGGTATCCCACTTGTATGTTACAAAGCATTAGCATAGTCTGGCCAACTAACCTAACTAACCTGAGCTAGTATTCAGGGTCTCCTCCAAACATGGTCACTTGTTGTTTACTAATAACAGGATGCTAAAATTGAGGCTTTAAAAAAAGAATTTCACAAACCAGTGTGTGATGTCGCCTAAACATATGGAAGGCCACAAGTGCCACAATGAATTGAATAAATAGATCGTTACATAATTAATTAAATGTGCCATTAATTAATTAAAATCGGAAATAAATAATTTTGTAAATGTTTTAAATTGAATTCCTTGATATTTTATTATTTATATATGTAATCATTCAATTATTTTCTATTTTAATTAATTAATGACACAATGAATTATTTATTTAATTCATTTTAACACTTGTGGCCCTCCACAATATTATTCGGCGGCAGGTTTTCCCCATAAGAATCTTAGACTGAATACTTTAACCCTTTAAAACCGATCCGAGCCAGCACGCTCTGTTTTGCTTAACTATTTTTAAATCCCGGTAGATCTGCAACCACGTGAGCTAGCGCAATAATTTTTTTTGCATATGAAACCGGAGGAGTTGTACTTACATCTTATGCCATCAGCTTGTCCTAGGTCACAGTTTCCTTCCACATATAGCTTTGCAAAAACTGCATAAAAAGCGCTTGCAGCAACACAAACATAATATTCCAGAAACACGCTTTGCCGATCCAATCAGCTGTTTGTAACACTTCCTATGTACGTCAGCGTGAACTTTCGCATGTCCGCCATGACCTGCCCGAAACCGGAAGTGACGTCATTTTCGCAGAATATATTTTTTTACCATCTGGGCCTCATGAGCCTATACTGGTGTTTTTAAAAGTTATCTTTGACTTTATGACTTTCTGTGTCGTTTCTGGGATGCTTAGGACTCATATTGCACTGCTGGAAATAGTTTAATTTGATGCATATGCTGCTTCTTTGCAAATTTGCAGTATAATATATATTTTCGTTTTTCCTGCAGTATATAAAAATTGGTGTAGTTCAAAAATAAAACTATGCAGACACTCAAAATAAATTTCCTGTGGTGGGAAACTATTTTGTGCAACTTTTTTGTATTTACAGTTTTGAGGGATAAGCCTCTTAAATTTCTCTAAATAGAAATATATGCAAAAACGATTTTCAATTTTTTTGTAGTTTACTGCACTTTTTTGCAATTTATGTAATTACTATGCACTTAATGCAGACATATTATTAAAATCTGGGCTATAATGGTTGTATTGATGTATAGCAACTTGAAATGCTCCCCAAAATGGCACTACAGCATGTAAAAATATAATATAAGCTCTGGCAGACTTGGTTCTATGGTAGGTCTTAAAGGGTTAAGGTGTTAAAGTCTGAATATCACGACACCACGTGACACCTGTGAACACAGTTAAAGTGAAGCTTCCTTTTACCTGCGTGATCATCGTCATAGATGGTCACTGTGGCAGTGTGGTTGTCACCCAGCACGGCTTTCGGGGTAGCGCTGGCATCCAGAGGTGCAGTGCCAATCTCCGGATAGCCAACAACACGAGGGTTACTGAGGTGAACGTAGAAATACTCATCTTCCTCGAAGATGTCATCGTCAATAACGCCCACCGTGATCTCTGAGAAAAGAATTGTTGTTTTAGCATCTTGCTCTCAGGTGCAAAGTAATTATAATAATTTGCTAACATTTTTAATGTAATTACATTTTTCCCCGTGAAATCACTAGCAAAAAAGAAAAAAAAGAAATCTGCCTCAGGAGCTGCAGATGACCTCTGCTATTTGACCATCAGTTTCAATGACATGTTTATTGAAAATATGTCAGAAATTTTTGTAGTCAGTGTTGTTTTTTTTACCTTTGAGGGTTTCTCCCGGCTTGAACAGCAGCGTTCCCTCTGCAAACTCATAATCTGAACCTGCGTTGGCTGTACCGTCCTCTGTGCGATAATCCACCTGCAGGAGATGGGAACACAAAGGAGTGATGGGGAGAGAGCAAAAAGAGTCGTCAAGATGAAACACAAGTGAGCAGATATGAAAAGGGCAGATAAACACAAAGGGAGAGGGAGAGTGCCAAACAGAGGGAGAGAGAGCGATAGAGAGGAGGACAGCAAAGAAGAGGCATTTGGGGAGATGAGGACAGAGGGTACGAGAGAAGAAGAAAAACAGCTTCATTAAACCAAGCCCTCTGGTCAGAAACAGGCCGATATTAAAGACTTTGAAGATAACATAAGAAAACCTTCCGCGTATCCTGTCCTTTCTCTCTGTCCTTTCAACTGCTTTGTGTTAATTACCCCCCTCCTTCTTATTTAGACAACACTAGAACCCAAATATCTAAAATGCATTTAGTTCAAATGGCTTCAAAGCCATTTTTTTCTGTTTGAAGGCAAAGCTGTGTCAGTCACTCGGTGCTGCTAGTTCTACTGAAGTCAATCCCTAGCCTCTGCTCTATTTTTAGCGCCTCATGAAATGTGTATAAGTGATATATTTTTAAATGCATCCAATGGTTGGATGATATTTTCGGGATTAAATGCAAGCTGGGTAATACTCAAGAGATTTTAAGATATGTGGATAGCTGATTTTTTCCATTTTAGACTGATGTGTGAGAAGTTATATCGTCACAGCCCGTGATTATATAAGAGCTGAGTTTCCTCTAATGCAAGACGCTCTATACTCTTTGAGCGCAAAATTGATGACATCTCGGACAAGATCACGGCTCTCCAACGGGAGATTGAGAGACCAGTGACGGACTGTTAGATCAACTGTAAAATTGACATGCAGTTGTTCGCACTAAAGGAAAACCACCATCATTTAATGGGGCTACCATAGGTAGCCTCTCACACCCTTACCCAACCCAGTTGCTTGTCATGTGGTTTAGGGTGTTGTGATGTGGATATGTATGTGCTCTCTGTGCAGAGGAGCTTGCTGACCTCCCACAACGAGCCCAGAATGAGTAGAGGTGTCTTTTTTCCCTCTTGCCCATTGTATTGTACATTTGACAGTTTTTTCACTGCAGGTGTAAACTTTGCATGTGACAAATTGATTGAAGATAGATTGGGGTAGCTTATCAGTCAATCATGCTGCTTGGATGAGAATGACTGTTTTGGAGCTGTATTGCTGTGTGTTCAAATTAATGACTTAACACTACAGACGTGCCCTCAATAAGACCCCTAGTATCTGTATATAAGGGACGCATTTTAACTTACATTATATTTATCTTAATTTAACAGCTGAAATGACTGTTCAAACCTTCACAGTGTTGCTAATAGTAACAAGTCCACTGTGATTCATCACCTGACTCACAGGAAACACAGTTTGTCTTTTGTGTAATGCTAAACTTTGATGTTTTGCCAACTTAATCGAACCAAACTGTGACTCAAGACTTCAAACAATGATAATTATTTCAAGTTCACCCTCAACACCCTCAGCTAATAAAAGCTTGCTATCACACTAGCACCATGTACATGTTGTAGCTACAAGCAGAGCTGCTAAGAGCTGCTAATATCGCACTGTGCATGCTGGATGTGAAAACAGCCACAGTTTGCAAACACAGTTTTTCCACCATATCTGCTTAAAAGTTGATATGTTGGTTAGAACTTGCTTCAAATGTTCAATCATAAACTGTATATAAACTTAGCACATAAAGTAAGTAAACATGATTTGGCCGACTACTTATTTGTTGTAACAATGCTTTCCTCGATGCTACATTTGTAAGGAAAATGCATTTGTAGGTTGAGCAGCAGAGTTGAGTATATTCTCTGCCAACATCAGCCAGCTTATTCTGCTACTCACTCTTGATTGTTGTCGTTTATTGGATTGGATGATTGCAGCATGAAGAAGCAAGACATACTGACAATTTAACAATTTATTCATTTAATAAACGGGGGCCTCAGTAGCATGTGGCACACCATACAGAGCCACAGCAGCCTTGCACATCCTCCTCATGCTGGTCACCAGCGTGGTCGGCCATATCTTCCTGCAAACCCTGGAAGAGTGCCTTCAGTTCATATCTGCTGATGCCCACTTGGTAGCCTGTCTCTGCCATCACCTCTTCAATTTAGACCTTCAATTTCCTGGTTGCCTGGAAATGGCACTAGGGATCACTCCAAATGATGTTGCAGCTTAGTTTTGCAGAACACCAGCTGGAGGTTTTCTGGATAGGGCACGGGGTCTATCCACATCAGCCAAACATGGCATGCTTGGATCAGACACCAAGTGACCACTTTAACAAGGTCCATGCTCACATGTGCTGCTAGTCAGGCAACTGATTATCAGCACCGGGGTACCAGGGTCAAAACAAGAGTCAAAAGCAGAATAAACTGTTTGGCATTAGCATAGAAGATTTGGCAACTTTTTCATAGTTCACTAACTTTTTCAACCCACATAGTCAACTCTTTTGCTCTACCCACAACTGCATTTTTCTTAGAAATTATTTTGCTTTTTAAAGCGAAATAAACAGTCTTTCCAACCATATAAGAGTCATTGCCAGGAAGCCTTAGAAAGAAGAAATAATTGGCAAACACAAATTTACTCAATTTTTGTGCATAGTTAAAATAACAGAAACTCCGGATCTGTAAATTGAACTGAGTGGCAGAAGTGAACCTGCATTCTTGCAATGGCCACCAATGCAAGTCTTCCTGTATTGAAATCTACATCAGTAAACATTTTCATTGAGTTGATCAGCTTAATCTTATCTTTAACTGTTATTTAATGCAGCATGATGTTCACATTTTGGTCCTTTTGAAAACAATGCTCGTGTTGGGAACGGCCTGCCTTGTGCTAACATTGCTAAATCTTTTAAAGGAAAAAGCACTGTGTAGATGTTTTTGCACCTTTTCCTGTGCTTTAAAGTCTTTAGATAGTAATGTATGAGTGCAAAGTAATTCGCTTTTAACTTTCATTGACCCAGCCATCAATACGAGGGAGCTCTCTGAGAATACCTAAATGACACAAATAATATTTCTTTTGTCTCTTTCAAAGCATCCTTCAGCAGACGGCTGACTAAGGCCGTGCCACCAGCAGAAAACTGATCTCTCATCACAGTTTAATTTGTAAACAAGAAGAAGAATAAAGGAGAGCCAGCCTTGCGGAGCCAACGTAGTAATGCTGAGCAGATCAGATATCAGCCCACTGACAGAGACTCAGCGGGAGACTCTCTCATTCAGGGAGAGCTCTCATTCATAGCCAGCATTAAGCCACCATTAAGTCTGAGATCAATGAGCCTTTGCAAAAGGATGTGCGCTTTCTTTGAGTTACAACCTGAGCCAGAAACTAGAAATCTGGAGATGAAGGTGTTTTCTCTGGTGCCTCTCAGCTACTCTCCTCTGCCACCCACTTCTCTGCCTTTATCCAACCAGGAAAGAAAAAGAAAGGTGCTCAAAGCCTCTGGAGGTGAGCACATGACACAAGATCTGCTTAAGATAGAAAAAGGTGTCAGGGAAGTCAGCCCACAGAATATTGTTGTTTTCTCTGCTGTCTCTGCTGTCTGCTTTTATTTGCATGAGACTCTGTAAGACTTGTTTCCCTTAAAGACACACTCACACACACACACACACACACACACACAAACAGTTTTATTCATGATCTACTGTCCATCCCTCCCGTGCACTCACCTTGACAGTAACTCCGGGGTCACCTCCGTGTCTGCCAACAGTCAGTTTCAGGGAACCACAGTTTTCAAAGCACTGATACAAAGAGGGTTCAAACTCAATCCTGATGGTGTGAGGGTCATCCTCCTGGGCCTGGGTCTCATGGCTGCTTACCACCTGAGAAAAAACACGCTCAATGTCCCAGTAGCTTCAAATGTAATATAATGGAGAAAGGCGAATAGAGTGCGTGCCTCACCTTGCGGGCCTGGTCAGCAGCGTGCTTCTTGAGGATGTTACCTGCTCCGATCATCATCCTGGTTGCCTGGATGCGGTAAAATGCTCGGCTCTTTTGCTGCTGCATTAGGACCTAATCAACAAATGCAATGAATCAATAAACCGTTTCATGTTAATTTAATTTGCTGTGGCCCAAACAGCCGTGCTTTTATGAAAGCAATCACTTTTAAAGAGAGAGCTACAATCTGAGAATTTTCTCCTGGGAGATCCTACACCGCCATTCAACTCAGTGTCAAAGGTCAACAGCAGATTCCCTGACATTTCCAGAAAGATTGTCTTAAGACAGACAAACTAAATCAGTGCAATAATACTGACAAAGAATCATTTAACGTTCTTTTCTCGTGTAATAACTTCAGGCTTTGGTTGCTGGCTCTCTTCACTGCCAACTTTGGTTCTAATGAGGTTTATCAATCTATAAGGAGCGATTTTAATAAAAACGTATGGCTCAATAGTGATGTATTATCCCAACGTTCCACTAAATTGAAAATGAACAAAGTGGCCACTGTAGCCGCGAGATCATTAGACTAAATGTGGCCTCAGAGCCGAGAACGCTGCAATTTATTCAAATTTAATGGAAGTGAGCTGACAGAATGCTTATATCTGCGTCTCTTTAGATAGAAGGAATAAGTAAGTGTTTAGTTAAGAAACTGATTTGGGTTTTTGCTGCACAAGATCACCCAGCTCCATATCCCATGACAGCAATTTCATTTTACATTCAGTGATTCATTATGACCACAAGAACTGAAATTTAGCAAGTCAAGTTTAATCTACAGGGCAGCTGTCATTCTTATTTACAGCATGGACTGGAGGGAGTAGCTGCAGGGATAGTGAGGCCTGAAAGCAAACAAACCTCTGGGAGCTGACCAGTGCACATTTGGCCCGCCAAGCTCCTTCCCTCCCCTCCTTCAAAACCGAAACCAAAGACATAGAAATGAGTTGGAGAGGAGGCAAGGGAAGGAATTGGTGGGAAAGCAGAGAAAGGGAGAGCAGCAGAGACTTGGACAGCTTCTACAGCTGAAATGTGCGTGCTGCATAAAAAAGAGGAATCTCTAATGAGCCAAATAAAGTGTGAGCAACTGCTATAACAGAGAGGAGTATGGGTGTGCGCTGACAGCTAAAATGTGGTTACAAAATGCCAAATTTAACTATTTAACAAATTTTGCTTAAGGTATCACAACCAACACATCACAAATCTAAATTCTCCCCAAAAAATATTAACTTGAGGCCCGCTTAAGTTCTTTAGCAAAGCATTTAGCTACATCTCTTTAAAGATTAACTCAATCGCTGAGAAAAAAAAGGCAGCTATGTTACCGCAAGTCAATATTTTTAAGGCTTCCAGGGTCCAGAACGGGCGCTCACGTTAATATATTTAGCTTTCATGTAACTTACCGGGCAAAAAATCACCTGGATGGCAGAGGGGTGAAGGTTTTACTGGTGTCAGTCAAGCCAACAGACACTTTCCACTCAGTACACTGGTTTAATTAACACTTAATAAAACAGTTTTACTGTGTGTTAAGCTGAGAGACACTGAGATAATGTGTGTAGCTAGCTGATGCTCAGCCAACTCAATTAACCACTCGCTAATGTTTTTAGTTTATGTGAACATGCTATTGGTTTGATTGTATGAGACAGCCGTAAACATTATAGATTTTCCTCTTTGTAACTTTGTGCTGTTTCCTCGGGGAACTGCACCTTCCTCTACTTTCAAAGCCACACTGAATGTGTCATAGCACCATTTCTGAGTCATTATCACCCTCAGAAGAGTAACATATGGAATATGACTCAAGTTTGCTCGTGTGCTACTGGTTTAGATAGAAAATCTGGAAATTGAGTGAAATAATAATATGTCAAAAGTCTGAGAATCAAAGAAGTGAAGTGAGAGAACCATTGAAATTTTGCTATTGCTATTTGCTATTAGCTTTTGGTTGCTAGTTTTATCTTTATGTTTACTAGCACCTCCAACACTTCCCCATACCAGCACATACATATCTCATGGTGTGCTACTGGTTTAGATAGAAAATGTGGAAATTGAGTGAAATAATGATATGTCAAAAGTCTAAGAATTCAAGAATGGAAGTGAGAGAACTATTGAAATTTTGCTATTGCTATTAGCTTTTGGTTGCTAGCTTTTATCTTTATGTTTACTAGCACCTCCAAAACTTCCCCATATCAGCACATACATATCTCATCTTTCATAGTCTAAATGAAATCAGTCTCTGTGTAATCTTCTGTAAAACTACAACATTTCTAGTGGAAATTATTTTCAACAGAATCTAGGGGGGGTTGTTTTACAGCTTATGCTAGCCTGAGCTAAGCTAATCACGCCTCTGTTTGTAACACCGCAAAACTTCTTAACTTGATTTAACAAGTTGTCAAACTTGATTTAATTTCAAGTGTTTTGAAAAAGTCTCAACAGGATCTTGAGCTTTATTGTGAAAGGTTTATGTGGAACATAAATAAGCGGACACGTGATGCTGTTACCGTCGTTGTTGCTAACCACAACGCATAAAAACAGGCGCTTGTCCGTCCGTAGTGTGGTTATATAAAATATAAGAGAAAAAGAGAACTTTAAGAAATTAATATAGCCACTACAGTGACCATCAAAACGATGAAAAAAAATTGCCGTAAACAGTTTATTTTGTGACACCACGAAACAAACGATAGCGTAAAAATGAAACGATAGACGTTTTTATATCGTTATCCGATATATATCGTTATATCGAACAGCCCTACAGTCATGGCATCTAAAAAATGAATCAGTACTTACAGATAATAATAATAATAAGATATTAACACTGAGAATATTCCAGCATTAGCAACTATTTTTTGACACTCTAATATACAGTCAGTGGCCATGTCATTGAATACACTTTGCTAGTCTTGGGTTGGACAACAACAACTTGTTCAAAACATTCCTCAGAGATTTTGGCCCATATAACATAATAATAGCATCACACATTTGCATCCATCCCAAAGATGCTCTATTGCATAGGTGTCAAACTCTGGCCCGCGGGCAGCCTAATTACATTTGGCCCGCAAAGCCATACCAAATTACTATTAGAGCTGGCCTACTGGTATTATACAGCTAATATATATATTGTTTATTATTAAGCTTTGCTTGTTCCATATTCAGTTTTTCAGCAAAACTTGTTTGAGTCCATAAGAAAAGATTCATTCTTATATGTGGAGAAAGATTATATCTTTTTTCAATAAATATTAACGTTAGCCCGTGACTTTGTTGCAGTTTTGAATTTTGGCCCACTGTGTATTTGAGTTTGACACCCCTGCTCTATTGGATTGAGATATCTGGAGACTGTGAAGGCAATTTGATTACAGTGAACTCATTGTCATGTACAAGAAAGCGTTTTGAGACCATCTGAGCTTTGTGACGTGGTGTGTTATCCTACTGGAAGCAGCCAGCGATCATAATGGAAAGGACATAGTCAGCAACAATCCTCAGGTAGGCTGTGGTGTTAAAACAATACCATTTAATTGGCTGATTGGCTGATTGGATATTTGCGTTGAGTAGTTGAACAGGTGTACCAAATGGGATGGCCAGTGAGTGCAGATGATGTTGTACTGGTTATTAGGCTGTATACCATGTATAAGAAGGCAAAAGTGTATAGCTACTACTGTTTTATAAAATCCTGCTTATTATTAAATGCCATTGTATATGGTTTTAGAAAGTTATTTGAATCGTGATAATTGTGTGGTGGAAATCTGATATAGTCATGACTTCCAAAGCTTAGACATCAATGGGATTGGGTGCTGCTAACCTGATAATTAGCCATCTCAATCAGCTGCTCCATGTCTTTATCCGGGTGCCTCTGCTTCAGCTCCTTTAGCGTCCTTGCCATGTCCCTCCTAGCCTCGTCCTCATCGTCCTTTGCTCCTCCATCCTCCATCATGCTTCCATCCATCCCGCTGTGACAGTTCAGCGCTATCTGTCCGTCCAGCTCCAGCATGTCCATCTTGGTGAAGCCCCCTGGACCCAGCACTCCACCCCCTCCTCCTCCATCCATGCCTAGCCCTCCATCAGCCCCACCCTCTGTCTCAATAATGATTCCCCGATTCTTGTCGGCACGGTAACGCTTGCGGACATACTTGTAGAAGAGAAGGCGGCGGTCGGCCACCCAGGCCTGGACCACGCAGAGTGGGAAGTAGAGGAAAGTAAGCACTGCCTCCCACACCTGAATGAAAGAAGAGATGTGGTTAAAAGCGTTTCTGTTTCATTCTCCTCCTCTTATTTCATCCCAGTGATTTCTTTCTTTAAACTTCAGCCGTTTTTACATAAAACTGTCCTCACCTCCACCTCTCCGGGGGAAAAGACACTCAGAATCAGGTAGAGCCAGATGTAGGCGAAGATACTCCAAGCCGCCGTGACAAAAAACACCCGAAGGTGTTTGATTTTGCGCGTTTCTCCATCAGGGACCACATACACACACAGAGCGATGATGACGAACATATTGAAGGCGGCGCTGCCCACAATGGTGCTGGGACCTAGATCACCAGCCTCAAAACCGTGACCGCACACCTGCAGTTGGAGGTGAAAATAAGAGGTCTTTCCATTACATTCTCTATCAGTTAATCTGACTTGTAGCCTGCAGGCTCATGTTGCACTGACCTCAATAACAGACAGCAGTATCTCGGGGGCACTGGAACCCAAGGCCATTAGAGTGAGATTAGAAACAGTCTCATTCCAGATTCTCACGGTGGCTGTGGTGGTCTCACCATTCGGCTTCTTTATGGTGATCTCCTTCTCCTGGGAGGTTATCACCTGGAGTGGAGAGGGCGTAAGGAAAGAAATAATATTGGATTTATTAGTTTTATACAGGTTACCTATTAGTGGTCCAATATCAGAAACTTATAGTGCAATCTAATAACAATTCAAAGAATATTCATTGACTTACCTCTATAGAAGACATGAACCGGTCCGCTATAATGCTCATGCCCAGGAACATGTAGATGAGTGCTACAAAGTAAACAATGGCTCGTGCCACTTTATCTCCTACAGAGGGGTTCTGAGGGTTCCAGACAGGCAGCACCACTCCTGCAATCAAAAGAAAAGAAAAAGGTGGAAAAAGGTAAAATCATTTTTCAGCAATATCACAGGGAATATTTGGTTGCAACAGTGCTGTGTAATCATTCTCCACCTCTCTAATCCTATAAAGCCTGCCACTGTGAGCATGTTGTGGAAACCACAGAGGCAGCATAACCTCATTAAAGATGATTGTAAGTGGGAAATTTTCTATATGGTCCCATTTGTCCTACTAAAACTTAGTGGAACTGTTAAAGTTAATGAAAGCATGAAAACTTATCACAAAGTGATCAACGTTCTAGATTTGTGGCATTAAATTGACATATTTCACTTTTAACTCACCGGTGGCACATTTTTGCTCATCTGGCAGACCTTTCTGATGCCTGATGTGAGACTGTCGTGAATATTCTCCTGACTTTATTTCACTTTCATAGACCATTGACACCTAGCAAATATGTCCCTTCAATGTTACTTGCACATCTGGACAGGACATATGGAATGGACTATGCTGTTATAAGAAGTTATACTACTTGGTTTAGAATAATTAAGTGGTATCATAAGAGAAATACACAATACTGTGCAAAACGTTTGCGTCATGCCTCATTTTTTAATATTTTGCTAAGAAAATGTGCAAAAGTATATAAAACAACAGCACAGTTCATGCGATTCTAACAAGCTCGACGGTTATAGTTCTGCTTTAGTTCTCCAGGCTTCTAGAAGGACATCCAATGCTCTTCTTTGGCTGCTGGCTGCTTTTTGTTCTGTTCACTGTCAGGATGATCCAACACTGCTTCAAAAATGTTGAGCTCCATACGCTGAGGCGGTGTTCCCTAGCATGTTAATACTCCATAATCAGCGTAGGAGAAAATATGTTGAAATGTGTTGAGTGTCAGGCTGATCGTCATGTTTATCGGTTCTCCTGATTGCAAAGACTTGGCTGGTACACAGGCAGCCAAACTAGAGGCGTAACCCATTTTATTGAACCCTCTCAGTTCACTGCACTCACTGAGAGGCTTACATACAGACGTCTAATCATGTCAGTGCTTCTTTACTTCTTTACAGTGCTTCTTTCACATTAAACTGCAGTTTTCTCACAGACCCACCTTCCTGACAGGGATCTCCACCAGAGGAACAGTTTTTCTTTCCGGCACCTGCACTGACCGATCCAGGGCATGACAGCAACAAAAAGAAGGAGAGAAGGAGGCAGAGAAGGAAAGAAGAGGGAGAAAAGTGGAAAGGGCGGAGTGAGTTGAGAGAGGACGGAGGCTTAGACATGGCTGCCGGAGCCATTTCTGCTGATGTGGACCTTCACTGGACTCTACCGAGTTGTGCTCTGGGTCAGCTCAGTGTAGGTCGATACCTAAAACCTGGAGACAGACAGAGAAAGGGTGGATTACTTCACTGTTGATAACATCTATTTATGAATTTTCACACTGTTTCAGTTCACTTAATTGTATTTAGTATGAAAACAACTGTTAGGTGTCTTCAATTAAAACGTTCTGAAACATGTGTTTCATGTGAGGAAAACAGCTCAGGTGAGCTGTCAGCAAAACCTTATATGTGTGACGACTTCTTTTTTTCTTCCTAGAAGTCAATAGAACATAGTTACAAAGTGCTTCACAACGCATTTGAACAGATACAATGAAATGAAAAAGCAATAAAAGCAATAATGGAAAGTCATTACTTAAAGAGAAGTTTAAGAAAGAGTCTGTAGAAGTGCTGTAAATGATGATGCACTTGTAGCCAGCATCTGTAATGAAGTTAAAACAATAAAGCTGAAGCAGATGTAGCAGATGAGCTGCTCGGGAACCCAGATGAAAAAAATCAATCACTACAGAATAGTCAATAGCAGCTTTGAAGCAAAGCAGACAGTAAGAACTTGGAGATTGTTACACAGTTACATGTTCCATTGCTAAAATATGAATACAAAAACTCTATTTTGATAATAAATAATTAAAAAAAAGCACCCTTGGCAAACTGCAATCACAGACGATGGTTGTGCTTT